TGCACGGCATGTGGTTCAAGGGCATTTTCTTCGAAAATTAGGCGATGTACATTCATCAATGAGATAAAATCTGGATTTGGACCACTCGTATAGTCAAAGCCAAATGCTCCAATTGTCATAAGACCTTCTAATTTAAGGTTTTTTAAATTATTATGGATATATTTGAAAAGCGCAGGGGTCTCACTGGGTTGCACGCCGTTCTTTGCTGGTAAAATTTTTATTTTTATTACTTTTAGTATCATTATTGTGTTAATTTTTCTATTATTTTTTTACCTTCTTCACCACTTGTATTGACTTGTATAAGAACAGATAGAGGAGTTTTATTGTCACCATGTATTTTCCCCCACGCAGAATCTAAACCAGTGGCAAGCTTTTCGCTGTCGACAGTTTGAATCATGTACAGATTTGGAAGTTTTAGTATCTAAAGATAAATATCACATTATGGCATTATTCAATCATCATATACAAATGCATCTAGCGTGCAACCTAACCGACTTACTTTATTAATTTTATTATTTTGCAGATGACCAATAAAATGCCATTTGATTTCCGGACAATGTTGCAAAATGTCTGGATGCTGTGCCTTTTCCACCAGCTCTTGCACGTAGTTCTCACCGAAATGACGTTGACCAGCCTTATATGCTTCAATTATCATTTCAACCGGCTTTGTTTTGCTGACGGCTACCAGCAGTGGCTTAGCCATTTTCACATGCTCCTGGAAAAAATTTATGCATCAAAACTTTCTTCCCCAACAGTAGTTTTCTGAAACAATACCGCGGGCCGACGAGCATATGCCTCTTCGATGCGTTTCAATATGCACTCAATGCCTGCTTTAACATTAACCTCCGACATTGCTCGTAGCATAGAGACACAGATATAGCGTTATCATTTATTAGAACAAATTTCGGAAAATAATTTTAACTTCGATAGTAAACAGATGATGGAAAACTTTACAAAAACTGCTGTGATAAGGAAATGACAAAACAAAGGTTAAAATCAGCTGTTTCCTGCAACGGTGACATCTATTCGTGAGAATGTACTTAAATAGAGTAATCTTCAAAGCTCCAAGCATAGATGTCGCCCTTACATCCGTTGGTGAATTGTTGTAAATTTTGTAATTCTGGTTGTACACGGTTAGCTACATATATTATTTTTACGCGGGCTTTATTTGTGTACTGACATATACTTGTTAGAACATATAATTTACACATAACATAAAATAATGTTTCGAACGGATTCAAGTCAATCCTTCATTCAAGTTTCAAATAGCGCATAAATTCATTAAAAAATAATAATAATTTGAACAAAAGTTGTTTGTCGGTAACAAAATTTGTTCCAACTACTCAATTTTATTTACAATTCAAAATCCCTGGGACATAAGAAAGTGTGCGGTAATTCAGAGACAAAAACAAAATATTGGGGCGTATTCTTGTTTTCATGAAATTTCCCTATCATTTTCTATACACAAATTTAAAGTTTTCGACTCGTACGAAAACAAGAATACGCCCCATTTTATCGATATTGTATCGAAACTCCTGTCATCGATATAAATTAGCCTATATACCGTACAACGATATTTATATATGTATTGAAAATCATATCGGTATTGCGCATCCGTACATAGCATAAAAACAGGGGAGGTTCAGGAAATTAACGAAACACACAAAAATTCTAATGTCTCCTGTTTCTTTCGGGACATATACATATTGAGCCCCAACCGCGAAAATAACGTTAGCGACATTATTTTTATAAATTTAATTTTGAAGCATTTCTGCATTAAAAAGTTAGTTTTGAAAAAATTCGCTTATGTTATTTCGCGATTAAGGCTCAATAAATTGACTTTGAAAACTGAAAAATGGGAAAATAGGAGATGGTTTCCTAAGGATGACGAAGGTTACTTACAGATAAAGTTGTGTGGTATTTTTTTGGCGCTTTATCCAATCCCTAAATATTACCATTTACCATTTAACGGGCTTGAAGATAAGCAATATGAGTGTGAAACGAAACTTCGTCAGAAAGCACTTCCTAAAAATATTGAACGTATGTACATACATATGTACTATATACAAATATATATATTTTTCCATAGGAAACATTTAATGAAAAAAATATTTTTAATTTGCCATCTATACTGATATACATATATTGAAAGCCGTTTTTTTTTCTAATCGAAAAACTCGATCGAAACGATATTATTGATATTTTGGACATCGACTATAGACCCTTAAAGGGTGATAATAGAATCAAAATAATTTCGATATATCAAGGGGCGTGCCACCTCCCATATAAACTGAACTTTTCGCACAACATATCTCTGGAAAAATTCATCGTAGAGTGCTGCAACTTAGTACAGAGATAAATAATATCAACGCCAAACTCATGGAAAAAAATGAGAGTTATAGAAAAAGGGGGCGTGGTACCTCCCATACACATTCTAATGGGAGAAATTCAGTTTTTATGGGAGGTACCACGCCTCGTTTTTCAATAAATCCCATTTTTTCCATGAGTTTGGCGTTGATATTATATATCTCTATACTAAGTTGAAGCACTCTACGATAAATACTTCCAGAGAAATGTTGTGTGAAAACTTAAGTTTGTATGGGAGGTGTCACGTCCCTTGATAGCTATATCGAAATTATTCTTCTTCTATTATCATCCTTTAAGGGTCTAGAGTCGATATCCGAAATTTCAAAAATATCGGCAAATTAAAAATATTTTTTAATTAAATGTTTCCTATGGAAAAATGTTTATGAATAGTTTTTTAAATAATTACAGGCATTTGAAGTATTTTCCAAAAAAGTGGAAGCATTCAAACGTAAAATTTTTTTCTTTCATTTTTCAACATTAATAAATAAAAATCCAGACCTTTTTTGAAAAATCGCCATGGAAAGAGCGACGCGAAATTTAATTGCCTTTTATTTAAAAAAAGAAATTTGAAATCAGTTAATATTTGGGCTCTCAAAATTGATTTGTCCACAGCAAATTTTTTTTGCCTCACAGTGCGCCGTGGTCAACTTGTTAGATCCGTGCCCTTTTTGGCCTTATTTTACATCAAATGGCATTTAATTTTTCAATGTGGCACTTAGTACCAAAATAGCGCTTTTCAATAATAATAATATTTCAATAATATATATATATATTTCAATATAATATATTTCAATATTTCTAAAGGTTATTCAACTGGTTTATCTCATTTTGGCATTGCACTTTTGTTTTACAAATGTTGTTCTTATTTTATCGCTAAATGGGAAGAATTAAAAAGGATGGTGCATTTTTGACGCTTTTATTTTTCTATTTGGCACTTTTTATCCTAAATATGGCACCTTATAGCTAAGGATAGTTGGCAGCCCTGTGCGCACTACCACTTGTCGCCGTCAGAAATATTACGACGCCGTCAAATTACGTTACGGTGTGTATTGCCGTCATCTCTGTAGACCGCTATTTTACGTTTCCGCTTTTGAGGAAACCAAAGCCTAAGCACCAAATATTTTATCTATTTCTCATGCTGTATTTTGGAAACTTGAAAAGGGAATCAAACAAAATGATTATTTTAAAAAGCAAAAACAGAAAAATTGTATTTGTCGTCAACAAAAATTTTAAGAAATTGATACAAAAAAATTGATTACCATAACGGGTCAGTATTCGCAGACTTCTTAGAAATATGACTTGCGGAATAGAAAATGCCCTCTGCTTTCTAAAGGGCATCGTAATTAAGTTGACAGTGGGCCCAATTTCATTTGTATTCTTCGAAATTTCCAAATTTGTGCTGGTGTTGGCTTTAGCATTCTGGATTACCGTTGGAATATTTTTATTGGTAAGAAATGAAGTTGTACAACGTAAGCCCTAGTAGAGAACCATATGTAAATCTTTTAGTGGGAAAGCATAATGCCCGAAGCAGCTTATCGTCTCTCCCAGGCAGCTGAAGCCGTTGTGGCTAACACAAGCGGCCTAACGCCAAGAGTTGAAATCAAGGAAAACGTTAACGAATCGGGTAGTTATCCATTTGTTATTGATTTACCAACAACTACATCGTCTGTTGTGGAAACACAAATAAATGACGAATCTGTGCAGCAAGCAGCACCAATTGAGACATCGCCAGAAACAGAAGAACCACAATCGGCAGCGGAGCCTAGCAATCCTGTACAGCAACCTTCACCAGATACAGGCGTCGAGAAACCGACAGCAGACAACCCCGCGGAGGCGACCGAGTGATTAAACCGTTTTCAAAAGTCTAAACAATTGTCCGATAAAAGCATGGTAACGAAAAAATCATAGAAAATGTATTTTTGAACAGCAGCAGCTTTTAATAAACGTTTTTAAATTACAATGAATGCAAGTAAACAGTTAACCGACGCTTTGGTAATTATGTACTTTGGTATTCTACACAAACAATAGCAATGCCATTCATTTTCATAACATTTGTTGTGTATAAGGACGAAGCTCGAAATTAATAGGATCCATTCAGTTTAACTTAATACCCTTGACAAGAGTACATATCTGTTAAATGTAGTTCTGTGGCGAAAAAGAAAAAGTTTAGTTGGCTTGAGCAACAACGTCTTCCTCATTCCGCGAGATTACAATGCCGCTTACGTTGACACAGATGATATGTACATATGTAGGTATTAATTAAGCGGCACATATGTACATATGTTTATGCTCTTACTAATTAAGCAATACACTCCTACATAGATATGCATTAATTAAGCCGAAGAAGCCACAGTCCAAGGCATCGAATGGAAAAAAAATATTGGGTTATGCTCGTCATTCATGGTTCACAGACCGTTTGGTGTTAGCGGCACACCAACATGTTAGCGGCGGACATACATTGACGAGCAAAACTGTAACATGGTGCAACACTTTTTATTTCAGTCGCCGCTGTATTTCCAAGTTTTAACGACTTTCATACTTTTGTTGTAAATTCTTATTGGTACACCTGTACTTCTTCTCTCATGACGATTTGAAGTCAATACAACAACAGTAATAAAACCAGCAGACAAAAATGTAAATTAAGGCAAATGTTACAGTTTTGCACTCATATCTTTTTAATAACTTTTTAACGATTTTCACGAAAAAAAGAACTATTAAAACATTGTTTAGGACCCTTTTGGTTTTTTTAGTTCCTAGATGCGATTTGGCATACTTAATGTCTATCTCTGTAATAATTCTGGATGTATAGCCTCCCATATAGCATTGGACGGACTTGGATAATGCTTGTAAGCTGCCCTTTATTTGATTTCGCAAATTCTCGATGAGATTAATGTCCGCGGATTGTGGCGGCCATTTCAAATGAGCAAATTTTTGTTTTTGTATCCAGTCTTTGCGAACATGTGCTACACTTAGGGTGATTTTTCGGCAGAAACTCTCATTTTTTAGACTATATCTTGCAAATTTTAATGAAATATGAACAGTTACTGTTGCTAATGCATAATGCGTACTAACGGGCCAACAAAATTTTTGAAATACAACCCAAAGCTATTATTGACCGATTGAATTTTTAAAATTCTTTCGGATGGCCAAAAACAGGATATACATGTTGTTGTTCTGACTTTCTTTAACATACGTTTCAATTTCTTCATCGTACTAGCTGTCGGGTTTCTTCAATCGACTCTGGTTGCAATTGCATTCCGATTGCGAAACAATTTTTTTTTCAGCCGAGTTAAATTCAAATCATTGGAATTAACTAAATCATCAATTATTTACTTCCTTTTTTCATAAAAAAATCGCTCGTGTTTATAAATTTTTAAATTTAACGAACTAATTTATTCAAATTATTGCAGACAAAAATGCAACCATGCATTCACAGGGCAAGAAAAACGAAAAATTCATATAAAAAGGCGTTCAAGAGATGGAAAGGAAATTTTCTGCTATTAAAATTTCTTAAATCAGTTTGCAGCTCTCAAGAAAAAAAATTTACAGCACAGGCAAAGAACGTTTTCAAGCAACAGAAATAATTAAAAAAAGAATCTTAAAATTTTCCTTAAGAGCTTATACTAAGCTTAAGAAATAAAAAACGTATTACGAAACCTTTTGGAGAGGAACTTTCTCCTAGTTCCTCGCCCGAGGATCCTCGCCTGTTTCCACATGACTTCGTGGATGAAAAATTTTATCTCAAATATTTGCGAGGTGAATTCATATAAGGTAGTGTTGCGAGAACAACTGATTTCATTCGCCTCGGTACACACATGTCGGAACTACTTATGAGTAAGTGTGAAAGTGATAGTCGGAACTT